ATATTAGAAAATTTGAACTTTAGAATATTAAAAGTGTCGTCAATTGTTAGATAAATCGAATATAAGAGAATTGAAAAAGGTTTTAATTATACATGGATGGTGTCGCAATGAATCCTTTTGCATCTCACTAATTATTAATAAGTTGAACAAAAAGATATCAGAAAAAATTGTAAATTCTAAATAAATGAAAAGAGAAGTAAAGAGAAATCATTGAATATTACCAATTACTAAATAAATTAATATTAAGAAAATTGAAAAATATTTTCAACTACATTCCTTCAATTATAGTTATATACTTTTCTCTCCATTCTTATTTACCTATAATCCTTTTTGTTCTTTTATAACATCCTACAATTATAATTCCTCCCCTTTGGTGTCACTAACAGGTACAATTCTATTCTCTGCGCTCTTTTTTTCTCTACACATAACACGCTACACAAAGAAAAAAAAATTAAACAACGAAATCTCATCGATACTAACAAAAATGACTTCAACACTGGGTCCAGTGGTGTCTGCTCTGCCCACGCCGATGCTGTACGATGCAAACGCGCCCGGAACCGCAACCTGTAGGAGCAGCCATGTCGAGAGCAATGCAAGTATCCGCAACCGTTCGTACTTGGGTGTCTCCATTCAGCTTTTCTCTGCCGCCAGTCTGATCGCGCTGAAACCAATCGATTTACTGTGTCACGTTTCCGTTTCAAACTGGCTTAATATCATCGTCGATTAACAGATAAGACGTTCAGTTTGCCAAGGACGATTAAACAGAACCACGTTCTCCTTTTCCATTTATTTCTTTTTTATCTATACTGTTTACATGTCAAAATTCATTATACGACAAATTTACACGTTTGCGTGATCTGGATACGCTTCATTATGCGCATGTGATTAAACATCGCGGACAATGTAAGTACATATGTACGCTGGAGATATGATAAATGTCGCCTTGATTAATATTAAATGCAAAATGGAACGTGGGATGATTTTCTCGCAGTGCTTTCAATCGATGCAATGATTTCTTAGTGTATTCAGGTGTGACACAAGATATACACCACCGCTCAAAAGTATCCGAACACTTGATATACATCGTTCAAAATAAGAGTAACCTCGCTCTCGGACCGATTCTCGTCCGTTCTGCGCATAGACAGAGGGCGAACCAGAGGGTAAGACGGAGAGAAAGGTAGGCGGTTAAGTGGGGGTTTGGACGTTCTAGTGGTTCTAGCCCCGCCTTAGGCACGTCCCATGCGCGAAACGAGGTTACTCTTATTTTGAACGTTGTATAGTGTCATGCATTGTCGACTTCGGAATTTTCTTTCTTAAAGCAATTTCTTGAATTGAATATCCTTATTCCGCAAGAGTAAGGACACTGGCACGTTTTTCTAATGATAATTCTCGTTTCGAATTCATAACTGAACATAGGAAGAGCAACGGACGAACTAAAGCAAAGCGGGTGACTGCATAGCGTTAGCTCCATTCTTATCCCTATCAACACTTAATAGGTATCGGAGAACTCTCTGAAATCGATCTGTACCATAGAAATTAAATAAACTAAATCTTCAGACCTTCTCAAACAACGAAATCGTTCCATTAGGATTCGTCTTTGTAAAAGACGAAATTATATTGTTGCATTTTTATTATGTAATTTGTACATAAAAATAAATTTTAGCGTGCTACGATACTTTAGTACACATAATAATAACAATTACAAAAGATAAAATGAGTGTAAGTACTTTTTCTACTATCTTAAACTATATTTTGTAGAGAATAAGGAGGTGTCCGGATACTTTTGAGCGATAGTGTACATAACTTCGAATGGATCGTTTTCTTTTTCGTTATTCGTTAGATTAGAAGAAGATGGAAATTTTTTAGCGAAACAATTTCATTTTGTTTAATTAATTCTTGCATTATTTTTACCTTTGCTGTTCCCACTTATTGTGTAATACGTGATAAAATTTGTAAATATTGTGAAATATATGCTATTGGGTTATGTAAGGCAAGTGTGCTTGTTGAGATAAGATTGTTTTGTTTCGCAGACGGATTTGATAAGTTCAACGAATGTGGAAATTTTGAGAATATTTAATGGGACATTTTTTTAAACGTATTTTCGCATCTTGTTATGTTTGCGTTGATACACTTTTTAACGGAGGAAAGTGTAATTTGTTTGAACCTGATTAAATCGGAATGTAAAATCTCTGTTAGCCAAATGAATTGCAGCACCTTAAAAATGAAATCGCACAAATCTGAAATTTACGTATATTGTTTGGAGTATTGAAAGGGAAAAGTGATTAAAGTTAGGTTTAAAAAAAATGGTCTTGTTTATTAAAAACGTTCATTGTTTCCTCAGAGCAGCCCGAAAAACATATGTGATTTCCATATTTGTGCAACCTTAATTTCTAGGTGTTGGAATTTCTTTGGCGAGCAGTGTATATAAAATGAAAGTGTTTTTGGACACACTGTATATAGACAGAACTGCTCAATAGAATACTGCCGCTGTGATTCATTGCGTAGTAGCGTTGCATTAGCGGTATATAATGTGCTGACTAGTAAAATGTAATAATATAATCATAAATTAGATAACATCTATTTAATGCGGCAGTATAATGGTAGTATAATTTAGTGTCATAATAGTTTACACTGCTGTTACACTAAAGGGAGGTAAATTTAATATTTTTGCATTCAAAATAAACTACAATTTTGTTCGTTTTTATTTTAATATTATAAAATGTAAATTATTCATTTTAAAAATTTATACTTTGCTAAATTTGTTGAATTAAATTTAATTTTCAAATACAAAATAATTTTGCGTAATTAAAATTAATTTGCAAACCAGCAACCTTCTCGAAAAGATTGACAATATTTCTCTGCTCGTCCATCGAGTAAAATTCGAGATACGTTTCGAGGAATTTTCCTCGTCGAAAGAAAGTTTTCCAAGGCCTTTGGAAATTCCTTGTAGGAGCAGTCGGATACAAGACCATTTTCGACA